GTCTGAGTGTGTTGTGGCCACGTGCACCTCTGTTGAAGCTCACCACCATCTTGATGACTGTTGGGTTCCCCGTCACTATGTCCTGGATCTGGTCCACCTTAGAACTGAGACATACAGACAACATGGTACAGTTGATCAGTAATGCTTGCCAAACAAAACACACAATTTAGTGTACATGCATTTTGGGAATTCAACACTATTATAAGCACCTCACTTATGTACTACCCTATAACCAATACAGCAAGACAATAGTGTAAATAAGTGTATAACTGGTACAGTGGCAAGGTATTGTTTAAGGCTGCAGTTCTCACTTAATTTCCTCCTCCAGAGCTGTCTTGAAGAGTTTAAGCAGCAGGTATTCCTCTCTCTGGTTGGAGGCGTAGTTGTACAAGGTGAAGATCACAGTGTCCATAAACTTAGTGGATTTGTTTTGGGGCATCTGGAAGATCAGCTTGGCCAGGTAGGCTGGATTGGTCTACAGGAGAGGGAAGACAGAACGAGCAGCATGCAACTGCACTTGGATATCCTATAAAACTTGAATAGATGTAAGTTGTAGTTTAAGTCAGGGTTAGATGAGGTAGAGTTTTTTTAATCACCTGTAACAGGTAGAAGAGATGTTGGTAGGCCTCCAGTTTCCTTCTTTTGCCTTTATTTAGACCCTTTATACCCAGTTTGTCTCCTGCAGTCAAGTCGTCTTTACTCGCTTTATTTTTCTTGGTCTTCATTTTCTTATTATGGGACACGACATCCTTTTCAAAGAAACAAACAAATTAATTGAGTAGCCAAACTGAACAGAACAAGATATAACCACAGGAATTTAATCGCAGTCCAGTGTTAGGAACCCTTGCCTAAAAACATGCAATCACAATATGCCTTTCCTTTTCTTGTACACATAAAATCAAGGGTTGCCTACCTGCAGAGAGATCCTGTTCTTCACCAGCAGTCCAATCTTTATGTCCATCAGGTTCAAGTCTTTCTCCATCTGCTGATTGGATCGAATATTGGTGACCACTTCCTCCCTAAGCCGTGTTACTTCCTGCTCTTCCTGAAGGTCCAGGGCGCTCTGCTCCAACAAGTGCACAAACTTGCGCACCACTGAGAGAGGAGGATCCTTGGCCCCAGCTAAAATTTGGCACATGTAATGATATTTTATTAGGATTTCCCCATCATGTATTACATTTCTTTTGTGGACTGGGTTATACAGACAGAAACACATACCACAATATTCTTGGTCAACTACCTTAATATCAACATACATGTAACAAAACACTATCTATCTAACTATAATGCAGCCTTTAAAATCATTAAAAAAACTAATTTAAGCAATGTTGCAATATGAACAATCAAAATTCCAGTCCATTTATAGTCTTACATTACAATATTGATATTATATCAATACGTTGTAGCTCAGCTCTAACTGCAGAACTGTAAAATGACCTTTTCGACTCACTTAGGGTTCTGTAGTCATGTCTGGCTTTGTTGGCCTTTAGAAAAGCCTGGATTTTCACAATTTCTTTTTCCTAAAAACACAGATAAAAGTGAGTCTTAAACAACATAGAATAAAATAAATGCAAAGGATTCCACTGAGTTATATTGATTGATTGTGTTACTCACGTGATCTTTGAAGAAATGCAACCTCTGACTGTATTTACGTTTGGCTTTCCACATTTTCACCACAGACTGGATCTAAAAACACAAGTGTTTAATTTAATGGTTTATGTATGATTTTAGTTTGTGGCTGAGAATTTCAAAAGACTGGCGATTAAGCTTTGTTTACAGTACAAGAAAGGGGTACATAGATTTACAGCTGTCTAGTCACTCAAAAAGTATACTTTTTTATACATTTGTTTTATAAAAGTCAAACAATTTATCACCTTGACAACAGAAGCAACATTTTTCTGAAGCAAATTCATCCTGTCTTTGTACATTTTCCTCTGTTTGTAACCTTTCCAGCAAGCCTGCAGAAAAGAAGACAAAAATATGATCAAAAATGTATCTGCATGCTACAAGTTGTGTGTTGTACATCAGTGAAATTGCAGCATGAAATATTAATTAATAATTTTTTTTTAAATTATCTTTTTGTCTGGATATCTCTATTGATTTATTATTGCTGCAATAGTCCACAACCATATCAGGGATCATTGTAGTTGTACTTGATTGTCTCATTGTGGAGACATACACTACCTGCAATTTGATGACGTGTGGTTCTTGTTGGTGGAGATATTCCATCCTCTGGGCATGCTTTTTCCTGACCAGGTATCCTCTAATCCTCGCCTGCAGCTGGGTCACCAAAGATTCATTGGCCAACCATAACTGTTCCCTGTTATATTCTGCAGTCAGACAGCTGACAACACTCTATGGGAAAAGAATACCATATTATAGTTATTATCTAATCAAATGAATAGTGTGATTTCAAAATGAATATCACTGAATTCATTGTTAAACCAAACAATAAAATTAATCTGATCATTGGGGTGTAACTATGTAAACACAGCATTACGTAATGGAGTAATGAAACTATGCAGTACAGCAGGGGGTACCTGGATTTCCTCTTTACTGAGCTGGCTACCATTGTGTTCAAATCCTTCAGGCTCCTCCCAGGTGCCCTGTCCAGTCTCCAGGTTAAAATAGTAGTCATATCTGTCCTTGATGCAATGTTTTACCCACACACTATCAGGGCTGCCTGGTAGAAAGCAGAAAGTGCACCTTTAGACACAGTGAATGTCACATTGAATACCAAATCTAAAAATAACTGGTGACGTCTTACTGTTTAGGCATCAACACTGACCTTCCTTACTTGTGATGATTGTGTAGTAAGTCTAGTTACCTTCAGTAGCACTGTTTGTTTGTCTCTGCACCAGTTCAGCCTGGTATGTGTCAGCACATTCAGGAAGCACCGCTCTCAGTCCAGCACTGGGAACTTGCAAAGTCTGCAGTGTATTCTGAGAGTCCCCCTCAGCCACCATTCTGTTAATATCAGCTACTGCTCCAGCCACTGGCAAAGTAAACAATATTGAACCAAAAAAGCAGTTGATGAGTCAAAACAAAACAAAACAGCAAAGTAACCGTAATATAAAAACTAGCAAGGGAGTAAGGGATTTTCCATAACAAGCAAGGTGGTATGAAACAATGTGTCTCTCAGCCACAGCAACATAAAATTATGTTGTCAATTCAATGTCAAACATCCATTAATGAGAAATAGGCTGAGCTGCCATATGGCAGAACAGTTCTGAGACACAATATCTGCAGAAAAGAAAATAAATCCTACATGTCTGCTTCAGTAATAACAGAAACTGTCATACTGGTGCTAGAGTATCCATATTTTATAACAAATAAACACATCATGATTCATGTCATATATGTCTCATACATACGTTTATGTTAGTTTTGATACTCATATTTTGGGTCATTATGCTCTACAAATTAAGATTTTGTGTTACCACACTACCAACCTTGCAATAAAGATTACTTTACTACTACATCAGTAAGTAGGAGGATCATAGTGACAGCTGAAACAAACTATAAGTATGAAGTTAGAACAGTAATGAGCCTGCTATGTCAGAGTTATGTGGTTATCTAATGCACATGCTCTGCACAATCAGAATGTAGTACCCGATGTTCCCAACGTATGAGAAGAATTAACTGGACCTGAATTAACTATTGTTAGATATGGATGAGTGAATTTAAACTCTGGGTACATACATGTGAGAGCCTCCTGTTCTTCCTGGTTGGCTGTGTGTATGGCCTCTTGGATTTGGTCCAGCCACAGTACTGCAGACTCATCTCCAGAGCTCTACAATCAGGTAAAAGCACAAGGTCACTTCTCTTTTTTCAGAAGGAGACCAAACTACACCTTAGGTACACACACATACACACACACACACACACACAGTTCACACAATACTAACTTGTTTACAAATTATAAATAGTTTGAAGCAATTCTAGTCAAAAGGTTAATGTCCAAAGTAAGAAATTATTGTAGTTAATGTACATTATGCAAATTCATCAAGTTAGGATTGTGGAGATTTTTGAATATGCCGTATTTTGCTCTACAGCAGTAGCAATTAATACTGTAGCACCACTGATTACAAACACTACACAAGCTGGTGCTGTTAAGAGTAACAGCAAATAATAGACAGTACCATTTCCCCTGTGTCCAGAAGTAAGATCTAAATAAAAGGAAAACATGTCAGTGAAATTGTTGACAATAGTTAAACTACACACATATCCTAACTGCCAACATCCCCTGACAATATAACATCATAACAACCACAAAGAATGTTTGTCCAGCCTGACTTTTGTAGTTATTCACAGGCTAATTTTAGAGAACTGTGGTGGGGACTGGGGTATACCCCTGACCACAGAGCCAACAGGAAGGAAGTCACCATTAAACGCACTGTGCAGACTAAAAGCAGCTTCTTTGTTTATCTTTGCATCTGACCAATAATTTCCCAGCCAGCTCACCATGTACTGAGAGAGCACGGCAGGGTCAGCCTTCCTGACAATCACAGTAATGCGATGAAAATCCCCAATTGTTCATAAAGAAAGTTAGGTTTTTTGTGTGTATGACATCATTTCAGTGTAAGGTTTATGGTACAAACCAGATAGACAATGTACTTGCAGTATAACATAATATTTTTTTTCATTCAGATGCAGAAGCTTACAATATTCCAAAACATCTGTTACAGTAGGGATTCCTCAATTCCATAACTAGGCTGACCAAAACTACCATTAAACTCAAATAAATGCAAAATAATTTTTTCCCCAAAAAAATCTGCATATTAACCTAAACCACAATAAAAAGACTTATTGTAACCATAACAATTTGTTTATGGATCACAGCTATTGATAAAATCACTAAGCCGTGTCCTCCCACCCCGGTGAGTCAGTGGGCAGTTACTGACGCAGGCAGAAGGGAATTCAGTTTTCAAGCCTGAACAGGAAACATGCTCAGCGCACCATACAAACAGACAAGCATCCCCACATCCACTAGCGGGAAGCTGAGCTTGAGTACACACAGTTATCTACTGTTAGACTGCAGAGATGCAAAAGAGCAAATTTCACCGGTGGCGGACTCCTAACATTTACTGAAAAGAAGCAGCACTGAGAGAGTTGAAGACAAAAAAAACCTTCAAAAACTGTTGGATATTGAAACTGGGAAGAGATATGGCCGACCTTGTGCCAGGACTACTCATTTGTTTGATGGCAGTGCAGACCATTCAGCATGATGGTAAGTTTATTATTTTATTATGTCATTTTGATATGCATCAACAGGGTTCATTTTTACAAAACACAGGTTTACAATACAAAATCCCTAAATTATTATAAGAAATATTGCTATACACCTATGTAATAATACGCTGTTTTTACAAAAGGTCAGTTATGACTACATAGAACTGAACAGTACACAACAACAGACAGCATGATCAACTAATTTTGTTTTTTTTAAATTTTATTTAATTTGTTTTTTATTATAAAAATAAAGTTGCTTTAAAGCCTTAAATATAGTTTTTCTACTCATTTATAGGAAATACAACAAGGACCAAAACCAACAGTTCACTTGGAGTGATACCAAAAACCTTCAAGGGGAGCAGATCTAAACATAATCACACAATCCGAGTGCCGGCCCTGCTCTATCCCAGCACAAAGCCTTGGCTGTATGCAAACTCGGAGGAGTCAGTGACAGCGTATACCACAGGGGTCCTCAGCACCTGGGTCATACCTTCATCATACATCCTGGCCATGCTGGTGGGTATCCCCGCCAACGCCTACATTCTGGCCTTCCTCAGACTCAGAGCAAAGTCATTCTCTACAGTAGTTCTTTATCTGAACCTGGCCTTGTCCGACCTGCTGCTCCTGCTCTCCCTGGCACTGCGTGTTCACTACCACTTCAACGGAAACAACTGGATATTTGGGGAAATCTCCTGCAGGCTCATCACAGCCTTGTTTTATGGCAATGTTTACTGTTCAGCTCAAACCATAGCATGCATCAGTCTGAAGCGCTACCTGGCTGTGGTCAAACCGTTTTTGTACAGAAGGCTTGCCAAGACTAAACTGGCAGTGGGGACGTGCTTGGTTGTGTGGTTCCTGCTCGGGGCTGCTATTGTGCCTGAGCTCCTGGTCAGGCAGAGCTACCAGGTTGCCCACCTGGGAGTCACCACTTGCCATGATGTACTTCCCCTAGAAGACAAATCCCATTCCCCGCTAGTGCCATACAGGCTGATGCTGGTTTGTCTGGGCTTCATAGTGCCCTTCCTGATTTGTGTTTATGCCCATGTGGCAATGGTATACCACCTAGGGCAATCTCGTTGTGACTGGACACCGTTTATCAGGGTCAGCACTCTAGTTTTCATCATCTTTGTGGTGTGTTTCTTGCCAAGCAGCATACTGCACATCACCCACTACATCCGTCTGTTTTCTAATGGGGACGACAGACTGTATGGATACTACAGAGTAGCAGTGTGTCTCTGCTGCTTCCACAGTTGTCTGGATCCCTTCCTGTGTATGCTCATTTCCAAGACGGCAGCCTCAGAACTACAATTCATCTCCCTCCACGGGATACCACAGAGACCGGCTGTTATGATGTGAGACTGGATGTGTGAGCACAGAAAAACAACCTCCTTGCTGGACCATTGTTCAGAATTAGCACAGGATTGTTGGGAACCAGCAGGAAAGCACAAGCCCACAAAAATTAAAACTGGACAAGTGGGTCTGTTAGGTCCAAAACAACACCAAGCTCTATGAAGTCAATTTTCAGGAAAAGGAACATTTAGATTGTGAAACCTAAACAAGCCTATTATGCAACACAGAATTAAATACAAAAAACACATGAACAATTACTCTTTCCAGTTTAAAAAGTTCAATATTAAGCAATTCAGATTTATTTATACATGCTATATAAATTAACTCAATTTACAGTCACAATACCTGACAGAGGAGTTGCTTGGTATATTGTAGGACATCATGGTAGTGTTTGGCTGTGGCTGGGTTCACCCCTGTCAACTTGGCTGTAGGGAGGAGCAGGGCTGAAAGCGTCTGCTGATGGTCACCTGAGTTAAGTGCCTCATTGATCTCAGCTATAGCTATGATGCCTGGAGTTAGAAGACAAGAATAATTTCATTTATTGTGTGTTTTCAAAAATCCTCATTGTTGGATCACACCTAATATTAAACATGTCCACAAGCTAAACCACATAACCATAAATCTGAAAGACTTTCTTACGCTCATGCTCCTCATGGACCTGAACGTTGACTGTGTCAATGCATTTTTGAACATCATTCCAGGTGAGAAACTCTTGGCCCTGGGCAAGCGTCTCCATTCGCTGTTTGATAAGAGTGTCAGCATACCTGAGGGAGAGTGCCATGAAGAGGTTCAACAATGTTTCATGACACTACAGTGAATGAACCACTACTCATCAGCTCACCCTAGTGTTAGCAAAATAACAATGAGGACAGAACTCCAGTGGAGTGCAGTGACATCCTAAAGACATCGTTCCTGTGATATCTTCTCACTTAATGTATCTGTCTCTGTTCTGTGTTTATGCACTCTGCAATAAAAAAACAAGAACAAGCAATCAAACTAATTTGTTGCTCTTAAAACCATATTCTACCACCATAATTTAACTTCTATGAATACCACAGTTACTGCAACAACAAAATAGTAATGAATAGAAGGGAACAGGATTACCACTAGCATCAATAGACGTGACAGCAGGGCGATTAGGAGTCTGAGCTTAGCAACAGTCCACTGGCGAGGGTAGAGTTCAGTGTCTTACCAAAAGAGAAGCCTACTGCCACCAAGCTGCCTAATAGTATACATTTGGCTTAACAACTGCTGTTCCTAGCACTTGTTTTATGTACTGCCAATGCCACCATTTGCTGCCACAGCTGTCTGTCCTGCAGCCAGCTTACCTGTTGAGGTTGTCTTGGTCCATGTTGGTGAAGCCCAGAGGAGAGTCTGTCAGTTGCTCAATCACAGCCTGAGGGTCCTTTGTGTCCAGCACCTCGTTCAGCACTGCTACAGCTGACAGCATCTCCACAGCTACACTCAGCTCCTCGTGGCTCAAACCAGACTAATAAACATCAACAGTCTGAATCAAAGGCATGAAGGGATATTTACCTACAGTATATGTCTAGAACTGACTTCTATACTGGTAAGCATATCTGTATCGGCATGTGGGTCCACATGTTAAACAGTCAAAATTGCAAACATGATGTCTCACCCGCCCCCCTTGGAGTTGCAAACTGAAAAGCTCAGTCTGATATAGGTTGGCAGCAGTTTGGTAGACAATTGGCAGTTGTGCCTCAGGATTCATCAGCTCCTCCACCGTCTCCACTGCATTGCCAAGACGAATGGCTGTATTGATTGCTGTAACTGCTTCGAGTTCTGGTAAAGACAATGATCACAAATTGTTGCGTCTTGCAGATAACCCAAATATAATTTCACAAAGGCATCTCAGTTATGAAATTCCATATCTTCCTTACCTTACAATTACATGCTGAAAACCCATATTAAAGATGTATCCTCAACTGTAATAGTGCACAGACCTTACATGTGTACTTGCTTGCTAGTGGGTACATATGTGATTTTCAACTGACCAGTAATTGCTGTTAATAAACATCTATGGTAAGTAACAAATGGTGCTTACTTCGTTTCTCTGCCTCAGAAAAGTCATTACAAGAGCTGACAACTCTCTGAATCTCCTCTTTGTCCACCATCACAGCCTTCCCTCCATCCTGCAGCACAAAGATTAGAGTACATTAGAGAGATACTACTAAGATCCCATGATTTTTTGCATTTTTTAATGCAGGGCTTGGAGGGCACAGAGCCTGCCAGTGTCCATTCCATCTAAAATTACAGTGGCTGATACATTTTTTATTCTTTGAAGGTGTGTTTAGGCTTTTTTTAAAATACAATACAATGTATTTTTTGCCTGACTAGTGAAGCAGCACGACAGCAACAGCTACAGTTCTTCATCTGTGTCTACACTGCATCTGTTAAGCCAATGAACTGCTGTGTGCTCAAATGGAAGTGGACCTGTTTGGTCAAACAAAAAACTGAAAAATGTCAAGTTTAGAAAGGGTGTCAAAAACAACACTGCATGTGTTTCCCTATAAATGTGTATGCTTTTTCTGGCCATTTCCAACTATGGCCAAAGTACTTCCTTTATCCCAGTCTAGCCATCTAATACAGGCTTATTCATTTAATACTCTCAACAACTACAAATAAATTACAATCAAACTCTGTATACCTTGGATTTATGCTGGCAGTAGGTGGTAAAATGTTCCAGGTACCACCGACCATTTGATTCTTGAACACCAAGCAGGGCCAAAGCTTCAAGCCTAAGTGCAGCCAACAGAGCAGCCTGGTCCTGGTTCGACACCGCTTGATTCACCTGCTTTACTGCTGCCTGGACTGGAGACAGAAAATGTATTTTGGATAAGTACTGAATTTGATGGAATTAAAAAAAATAATAATTAATTGCACATTCTCTCCATGTTTCTTCAAAGTTCACATATGTCCTGTGTTCATATGCACCAACACTGTATGACATTTTTGTCCATGCAAAAGGAAGACATTCATGGTTGTTAGGGAAAACCCTTACTGTTGACAAAGTCAAGGCAGCCCTGGATCTCCTGCTGAGTCAGAAGCTCCTCATAAACATCTCTTTCTTCAGTAGCAACCGAGGAGCGCTAATTTAGGGAGACAGAGGAAAATAAAATAATATTATCATTTCATTTTATTATAGAATATTTAATTTGTACCTGGTACCATTATTTTTTTCCCCCATTCATACCAATTTGCATATTTTACATATCACATTTCAGCCACTACGTTGAAATGGACAGTCTCCTGTTTGTACTTTGTACAGTATTTGTAAAGAGAATGGGAGGCGAGATGCCGGATGGTGTGGACGGTTTGTGTTTGGTGAAGTACAGCTGACACTGCAGCCACTGGAATGTGCTGGCAAGGCCTGTGGAGTGAGTCAGTGCAGGCCACCCCTTTCAGACCTTAGTGTGGATATCTCTTCAGTTATTATAGTTGTGTCAGTACTAGACACTTCAGTCAGATACGTCGGATCAGAGCAACATTTTTGGCGTCACTCAAATTTCATTTCAATGTTTATATTCTTCTAATTTCAGTTCAGTGGCATCACTTTCAGACCAACACAGAAGGATAAACATCACTTGGTGGTCAACTTAAATGGGTCAACACAAACTCACACACAATACTTTGAAACCCTTCTCCAAACTTGAGTTTAACGCAGATGAGACATTGCATACAGTAGCTTTAGCAGCTTTTTAATTTAATATGAATGTTATTTAAATTATATGTATGCATGTAATATCAGACTGATCCGGAATGAGTGAAATAGAGAGTGATAGAGATTGGTGAAGCGAGCAAGAGAGCAAGCAATAAAGAAAGAAAATAACCAAACTTCACAAAAACACCAGAGGCTTCTCACCCTCCCTGAGGACTGATTCTGCTTACGAGCCTTGGCCTGGCTCAGTGTGTCCTGGTAGTCTTGGGCAAGAACTTCCTGGGTGTTCCTCAGCATTGCGTTAGGATTATTCAAAGCACCCATTGTCACAGATGTCTGGCCTCTGTCAACCGCCTCATTGATGGCAATCACAGCAGCATGCACTGAGGACAACAGAGTGTGTGCGAACATTTTAGCATTAGCTAAAATATTAGGAGTTTCTGGCAAAAACATCAATAAAGAATTAGTTAAAAGGTCGAAGGACTTACAAGCAGCCTCATCCACTGAAAGCTCATTGGCCAGGATTCCTCCAATCTTACTGAAAGCTGGCATTTGAATGCCATACTTCTCCAGCTCACTCCTCATGTTACTGATCTCTTCCTCTGGAAGACAGATATATACAGATTGCAGGGGAAATGCTACAATATACTGGATACGATTTAATTTCCTTTTAGAGTTTCTGTATGCATGTCTCAATAAGAAATTTCATAAAGAAACAAACAATATTACTGTCCTAGAATAGTTTGACACCATTGGGAGGCATGTGCACGTACACTACACTTTCTTGCACTTCTCTTACAGGAATACAGCTCCATGGTGCTACTAGAGGTCTAAAACTCTACAGGGAAACTTTAAGCAGTTGAGAAAAACTATAATATACAATACACTCAGGCAACACTGATATTTTCCCCAGAGTTAAGTTTAATATTGTTAAAACTGTGATGTGATGTGAGTAGGCCGTGAGTCTTCCAATGTAAATCCAATGTCAAAAGCTTTGAAGGTTGGTTCTTTGCATGTCCTATTATTTGAATGGCTGCAGGGGATATTTTGCTGAACCGAAATGTTGGATAATTTAAACATCTAAATTAGAGAATCCTCATAAAACTTTACATGCTTGAGAGCACCTTTTTCAATTAAATTCCAACACTACCAGTAAATAAAATTACCTCCTACACACAGAGAATTTGTTATAAATTAACACATGCACAACTAGGTGAGTACACATCAGTATTTCAATTAGCCCAGAGGCAAGATTTACCCTTCATTTTACAAGCAATTAATAATAACTTGCATGTTTCATCTCCTATTTAAACAGGCGCATATACACAGTTTTATATATAACTTTCAGAAGAAGCTGGTATTACCTGTAAAGGCCACTTTTCCGAGCAGGTCCTGGATCTGTGGTGCAATGCCCAGTTTGTACAAGTACAGGCTGAAATAAACCATATAGGGTGTGAGATTTACTCATAAATAAGGAAGCACTAAGAAGCTTGAAGGTATCGAATAGTTTGATATCATGACACTGAAACTTTTTTGGCCATTTTTCCCTCCTGATTGCCATTTCTCTTGTTGGCCTATAATCCACCATATTCCAGCCTATGTCACACTTTCACCACAGGGGGGTAGTGTTGACTTGCATTAC